TGACTTTTCACTTTTATTTAACTTTAATATAACTTCATTTTACTTGAATTTTATTTTGATTTTACTTTAATATAAGTTGACCTCAAAAAATTATGATGTTAGGACAATGGTGTTGCTCTAAAATGATTTAGTGGGTTTTCGGAGATGCTTCTTCAAAATAAATGACTGTTGCAATTAACACGCTTCCAATACTTTTTGAAGAATTTTGGTGAACATTTCAGAGATGCATCTTCAGATACACCCAAATAATATATGAAAATACATCTCCAGATCATATTTTGTTCAAAATCAGGTGGATCTCAAAATAGCACAGTTTATGTGATTTTGATGCGTCCAGAGATGAATCTCTCAATCTCAATCTCAATCTCAATGCATAAAAGGGGATTTTAAATTTTCAAGAATGTAGTATGCAGATCAAGGGTTTATATTCATTTAGTCTATTTCATTGAATTTAACGTGAACTACCGAAAGGTTTAAGCGGTGAAAAAAAAAATCATCACTCTTTTTATGGTGTTTTACAAAATTGTATTTTGTTAAACTATGTACAATGGTTTACATATTCAACACACTCCTTTTTATTTTTTATACTCTATACCATCTTCTCTTTCTTCCACCTAATAATTCAACACTCATTCAATTTTTACTCACTACAATAATTTTGTTTAATAAAATTCAACACTCTATCCCATCACTTTTATTTCATATTTTTATTTTCTTTTATATTTTTATTTTTATGATTTTATATTAATATCAATTATCGATTGAAATAAAATTAAAATAATTAAGTAAATAATTTATTTTAATTTTTTTCTAATTTTATATTCTTAATTTATTTTAGTTTTTTTTTAATTTTATACGGATAGTCGTTATTAAAACAAATAAAAGTGAATAAAATAATAATTTATTAGAGGTTAAATAATAAAAAATAAAAAATAAAAAAGAATTCTTTTCTGTGTCCAAATCAAATGAACCAAATCTCTATTTATATACAAAAAAAAATAATGAATTTTGGTGAAAATAAAAATAAATAAAAAATTAATTTATTATAAAATAATTGATTTCAAATAATTAAAATAAATTAAAAATCTAAACAATCAAATCAACCAACAAAATTTTACAAAGTATTATAATGACCCCACTCTCTCCTTATTCAACATGTTAAATATTTTCAACACATTAATCCATCTCACTTTCAACCTTTTATTCAACTCCCAATTGCATATATTCAACTATTGAATCATTTTTTCAACACCCTAATAATACTTCATCTTATAAATATGGAATTTGCTATTGTTTCTTAATTGTTTTTGGTATTTAAACTCCCAACACTCTTAGCTCCACAATCCTCATTGTTCACACTTTCATACTACGAAAACTTCTTTTGATGAAACTGCCTTGTTTACAGCAGCATGTTGACGTTGGTTTGCACACTCCATATCCTATTCTTGGAAGTGGGGCAGATTGCCTTTAATATTAGATAAGTTGTTTAGAAAAATACTCAAAATAGTATCACAAGTTTCTCAATGACGAAATTCAAAACACAACCACATACATGAACCTTCACAATATTAACTTTTGCAAATGCAACAATAATTTATTATGTATAATGACTCTCACAATGAGCAGGATGATTCAAAACTGTACCTACTCAAACCGTTCTCAATCTCCAATACACCCTCAACAAAGAAAAGAGACATAAATAAAACAACATGATTTGATCTATGACCACCCAAATACATAATCAAGAACATAGACCAATGCCAAGGAGAATGGATAGAGTAGGATAGCCAATATTGATGTCCATAGAGGGAAAACAGTGCGGAAACTGGCGAACGCACCCATGACAACACAGACGATGAGAATAACCAGCACTTCAGAAGAAAAGTCCCATGTCAATCCCCTTACGTATACGAGCGCCAAGAAGACCGATAGACATAGTACATTGTTCATTGTTACTGCACCGTATATCTGCAAAAAAAAACAAACATTATCATTTGAGTAGGGGCAGATTTTGTGTAAAAAATAGATAGTACTAAACAAGAAAACAAACCTCGGAAAATGTTAATGATGCTGTTTGCCTCTTATCACGACTAGCAAAAATTATTGCTGATACAGCTTCGCTTGAATTGGTTGCTAGAGGTAGAAAAATGAAGGAAATGAAGAAAGCTGGAATACTTGTAGCATCGGAGAAGTCATTGACTGCACCAACAAGAGGATCGGCAAATGCAGCAGCGATAAGAGCACCGAGTAGCAGCAGTAGTCCTGCTTTGATGGAAATCCATCTGGCATTCTCAATAACTTCAGTTTCTTCATCACCCTGACCCCCCACATCCAGAAGATCATGTTCCCTCTTTGTTTCCTGTGCAAAAAATCCATGTCATACTTGTCTACCAAAAAGGAATTTATATCACTCGAGTCTAGCGCACGTTGGTGCGTAGAGTGCACGAGTATTAAAAAAATAGGACAAGTTTATGAAGCTGAGCAAAGCACGACTTACGGTGTGAAAATCACTTAAAAACTTCACAGTGTGTGCACCAGCATCACCGCCTTGAACTTTAGAACGCCTGGCCCCTTGAAGCCATCTGGAGACTCCATTAACAAACTCTGCTTCGTCAATAAGTTGATTACGAGAAGTATCAAAATCCGCCATTATTCTTGTTACAGCATCGTTATGGTCCAGGTCAATCTCCTCGAACTGAATTCCAACAACCAGTGCTGTCATTTCACCATGAGTAAGATGTCCATCTTTATTTTCATCAATTGTGGCAAATAACCTGTATATGCAATTAAGTCAACGGCAACGAAAACCATAGGAAGATAAAAAAAGCAACAATGTTCTTCAAAACAAACATGTCTTAACTCTTAACACTTAATTCAAAGCACAAAGGAGAGAAAGTCTTACTTTTTAATTACTTCTGTATTGGGTTCGCCATTATCTTTCAGCAGCCTTCCCAATGAGCGCATCTTCAAATGTCTAAGAAGTCCCAAAATAACATGCTTATGTTTAATATATTCCAATTTTCGTTTTTGTATCCAGGGTTGGAAAATCTGCACCATTTTTTTCATTCTGCTCAGTTTCTAAATGTTCAAAATACAGACAACTTTGTCTGAAAAATGATAATAATTAATAACAGTATACAAATATTCATCAAATATAAAGTTATCGTAAGCCTCAACTATAAAATAAATTAAATTATGCGTACCATCAGTGTTAAATAAAACGGCACAGGAAACACAAGTACACCATAAAAAAGAAACTTACCTGGTAAAGGCAATAAGAGATCAATAAACAGACAGAGATAACAAGACCAATCAAAACAGCCAAGTGCCTTCCAGAAGTTGAATTGAGCATTTGTGGTAATTGAACAATCAGGAATGGAACAACAGATATAACCATAATCCTTGCAGCATAACTTGTCCAAATATCAGTACTAACACCAGAACCTGCAAATAGAGATCTTAGTAGAATAGAAGTATGGATCAAAATGAACCAAACATTAACGCATATGACATTAGCAGCATCGTCATGTTTGGTTGCTTGAAGAACAAGAAAGAGGAGACAATAAAACACAATAATCCGAGTGTCATGGCATAAAGAAGTTTATTGTAGTAACTCTCAATCTTTATATAACCGAACAATACGAAATGACATACCGCTTAGACTGAACCCCCTAGTGTCTGTTGAATCTAGTGCAATGGAGTCCTCAATGTCACACTTGCCTACAATCACACAAGTCCCCCATATTATAGTCAGAAGCAGCACCGTTGATCCGGCTAGCAGTCCCATTCCAACAGCTACCTGACTTTGAGCAACTTCTGCACTTCCTGAAAGCCCAGACACTACACAAAACAAGCAACACGGATTATAAACCCAAAAAGCAAAATACATTAAAGCACTAAATGAGCATAAATCTTCATATATGAGACGAGAGGCAACATAAAAAAATTAAAAAAAAGAAGAAGAAAACATCTTTTAGAATGTCAGTTGACTCAACCCTACAAAACCGAATAATAAACTGATGGTTGGTTTCCACTTATAAGAGATATTTGACATGAACAACAAGGTTCAGATTCATCCCGAGATATAGCAAACAAAAAGCCACACTTGAGATAATAATGAATCACTTTAACTAACAAATCCGTGAATTTGACAGAGAGAATCAGAACAATATAAAGGTGTGTTTCGTTCTACGTTGAAAAAATAATCCATTTTGAATAAATTGATTCTATAAAATTAAGTTAACAGTAACGCGATTTAAGTTTGAATAAATTCTTGCAAAAGTGAGTCGATAAAATCATCTATAGACTCAAAAGTTACATATCATATCTTCAAGTAGAATCAATTCTGAAAAAGCAGAATCAATTCTACTCGAGAAACCAAACATACCAAAATCTCAAATTTTATTCAAGAAGTTTTCCTTTACAACTTCATGGGACATGGTTCAAATTCCACTTAGAATAGTGGTAAAATAGCCTGAGTACCAGAATCAATTCTAAAAGCAAAATCAATTCGAATCTAGGATAGAATCACTTAAATAAGAGAATCTTATAAATAATTAGCTATGATTACCTAGAATGAGCATGGCATCAGGGAGAGCGCCAAGGATAGGAAGAAACAACCCCCCAACAATGCCGGGACCCAAGATCTCAAGCAACAGCTCACTGCCGTTGGACAGAAACGTAGCGGCGGTGTACATGAGGAATCCATAAACAATAATGAGAAACAAGTTTCCAAGGACGGTGGTGGTGCACGGTAAGAAACCGTAGGTCTGTTCGCAGGCGGATTCGGCAACGGGATCGGTGGGGAGACGAAGAACGTTGAAATTGAAAGCATCGGAAACGAGATCGTGCGAGAGGAAACGAGCGTGGGCGTGAGTGCAGAGGAGTGCGGCGATAGCGATGAAGAGGAAGCGGAAGAGTGTGTGGTTGGAAGTGGAACGAGAACGGGAACGGGAACGAGAACGTGAAGTGAAAGAGAGAGACATGGTTGTTGTTGTGTGCTAATGGATGAGAAACATTTGTGTGTGTTTTTTTATGTGTGTTTTTGACTTTTTGTTGTTTTGTTGATAAGTTTGAGGAAAAATGGAAAGAAATTGTGAAATGAGATTTGAGATATATTGGAAAGGGAAAAAAGGGAAAGGAATTGAATTGTGATATTGTGAAAGGGTTAGAGAAATCTTTGTTTTACTTTTATGTCGGTAAATTGAATATTTAAATTTTAAAGTTGAATGGGAAATAAAAGTTTGAGTAATACGAAGGGTCGTTTTCAGAGTTGCGGAAAGAGTGGGGTGGTAGATGGATAAAAGAAGGTAAGGTGGAGGTGGAAGTTGAAGTAGGTCTAGTGGTGTTAACGAACTAATTACAGATTGGGATCTTGGGGGCTACCATCTGTACTAACTATCATTTGTTTGTCACATTCTGCACCTCACACTTCTCAACACATGTTTGTCAAAAATAATTTGTTCCAAATTTGAGAGAATTTAACAGAATTTAACCTCTCAATCCTTTTTATGTCCAGCACCTTTGCCAATAGTTTTGTATGATTGTGATTCTATTTTTTGTATAATCTAAAATGAATCAAAAAAATAACAAACATCGTTTGAACCCGTATAAGATCATTAGATTATTGAATTAAAATTAAACTCAACACTCAAAATCTAATAATGTTAATGAAGTTTATGATTAACAATCACATAACCAGAATATATTAAAAAAATAAATTATATTTAATAAATAAAATAAAATAAAAAAAGATTTTTAAATTGTTTTTAAAATGAGAATAAAGGTAAAATAGTAAATTATACTCAATGTATCAAAGAAAAATTTAAAAAGATCATAGAAAAATCAGAAATGACCTCAAATATTTTTATAAAATTTTTTGCTAATTTTTTAAAGCAGAAAAATATTTTTAAACTAATTAAAATCACCCAAGTGAAAAAAACATCAAAAATAGTATAATTCAAAATAAAATTCTAAAAATTTTTCAAAAGGTCAGAAATAAGTAAAATGATTTTTATAAAAAAAATTAGAATTTAAAAATATCAAAAAATATTTTTAAAACAATTAAAATAAGGAAAACAAAACAAAAATTATGAAAAATATTAAACATTAAAATAAATTTTTGAAAAAATATTCACAAAATCATAAATAATTCAAAGTATTTTTGTATATTTTTTCATAATTTTTAGATAAAAAATATAAGAGTTATGAATTTTTAAAGATAAAAGAAATTAAAAAATAATTTTGTAAAATAAAAACAAATCAGAAAAACCACGCGCGTTGGATCTCTCTCACTTATACACGCTGACATATTCAATGGATCTGAGGTGAGGGAGCATCATGGACCCAAGCTGAAGCGCGCACATATAACACAAGAAAGTCCAACCAATCAAAATAACACAATTGGCTCAGTGTCATTGGTTGAAGAACGACACGTAGGTCGTCTTCAACCTCTAGCCTCCTGCAAGTAGGGCAAATCCAAGATCCTTGAATCCGTAAATTTACGCGTTCATAGTGGTACCATTAGATGCATCTACTTGAGATGATCACAACCATATGCTCGCGAAAAATTTATATAAAACACAGCGTAGTCAATTTGGAAAAAACCAGAGATGTTTGAAAATGTTAAAATAAAAAATCAGAAGCATCAAATGCAATGTTTCACCAAAATTGAGTTAATAGCAAACATCAGTGAACATTATAGACCATTCTAGTAATTTGAGTTAGAAGATTTGGTACCTTAAACTACCTGAACGAAGTCAAATGAACTTGCTCTGTAAATGGACTTAGCTAGCATGATTCAGGGAACCTCAAGGCTTGATTCTTCTTTTGTTAGCTTCAGTGAAGTTTAAGGATGAAGGATCAATGAAGGAATTGGATTCAAAAGTGGAGAAAAGAGGAATTCGAAATCTCAGAAAAGTAAGTTATGGAAGGAGTTTGACAGAGTGATTTTGGTTGTTAAAGCATGAGAAAATGAGAGGAGTGAGGTCCTCTATTTATATGAAAGTGAATGGTGCAAAGAATTCAGAGAAAATTTGAAGTTTGGGGGTAAATTGGATCAAGCTCGAAAGTGAAAAAAGTGTGACCCCATGTGCATCAAAACTCAACTAATTCCTAAATTTTGATCCTTAATTCAACTTTGGGAACATTGTTAAACATGTTTAAATAAAAAATGCGTGCTAAATTGGTGATTAGAAGCCATATTATGATTTTCAAATTCTGACTTTGGAGAAAACTTCAGTTTCAAGGTACCATCTTTGAATCCATGGTTTTCACAGCTCAAGGAGTCTTAGGGCATGATTCTTGAATCAATTGAAAGATAAGGTTACAAACTTTACAATGTGCAAAGAGTGAGATCAATTGGATGCTTGAGCTAAAAGTTGTGATGAGTCAAAGTTGAGAAAAAGATGTTGACTTTTTTACCTATAATGTTTTGAGTTCAAACAAGGCCTTCCTCCAAAATTGAGCTTTGATAATTGATGCTAGCTTGAAGTAGTCTTCCCAAAGAGAATTGTGAAACTTGAATCACTCAAAAATACCAAGTATTGAAAAAGTTATGGTCTTGTAAAATTGGTGAAAATTCATGAGGTGGCCTATAATATTTTGAGTTCTTAGGGAATCTTCCACTCATTTTCAAGCTTTGAACATAAAAGAAGAGCTAAATTTCATATCTTTAATATAATTATAGAAAAAGAATGGGCTCAAGGAGATAAAAATTGACCAAGTTATGGTCTTTTGAAGTCACACAAGAGAATTTGATAGCCTATCTAGAGGACGTGTAGTCTTTCTTCATCATTAGGCATCTTCCACATAAAATTTTCTTGAAACTCTTGAAGTGATTAGTTGATAACCATTTAAATAGAATCATGTATTTGGAATTACTCAAAAATCTCAAAAGATGATCAAGATATAACCCTTATAAGTTCAAAACCCTAGCTCCTAGAGCACCAAAATGACTTGGAAACCCCTTACAATTTTGACAAATTTTCTTGCACAATTACTCTTTCCATGTGAATAGAAGTTGTTGTGGATGATAATAATAACCCATAGCAACAAAAACCACTTCTAGATGTTAATAATTGATAGAGTTATGCACTTGTGATCAAGAAATCAAGAACTTGTCCAATTAGGTCAAACTTCTTCAATCAACTCTTGCATCTTTTGACTTTCTTTGACAAATTGAGGCATGATGAATCATAGTAGACCTTGCCATGATATTACTTTAAAGTATATCCAATGATGAAGCTTGAATTTCAATGAAATTTTGTTGAAAAAAGCATGGAAATAAACTCATGAACCTATGAATCAACCTGATGAAGTGTGTTGTGCCCTCACCTATAATATCATCAATTTGAGCAAACATTCATGGTATTTAATAGTTAAAAGTTAATCAACACAAAACATAGATGATCACAATATACAAATCAAGGTGCTTGGTGATTCCTCATAAGAAAACCTAGAGATAGGGAGAAGAACCAAACCCTAGTGTGATCTTGTTGTGATTGAGTTGATATGAGATGATAGAGGAATCTTAGGGGGGAAATTGGGGTACAACAACTGCCCTTATTTAAGTGTCTTCTATCCGGAGATACGAAGGCTAAAATCTTCGTGTCGACGCGATTGAAGATACTTAAATATAAAACAAACTCTATTTTTGGCCCTAAGAGGCCATGCAATGCTTATGATTGTGCATGCAAATAAACAGATCCAAAGGTGACACGGGACACCGCTGGGGAAACAGAAAATAAAAGTTCAAAAGAAAATTAGACCAAGAAAATAAATCACTGGTGAACAGAAGACTCGACTCTATTGGGTTAAAGCCCAAAGAGGAGACAAAGTAACATCAACTCAAACATTAAGGAGAGAAAATAAAGGATAATAGTGATCGACAGATAACCACAAACTATTCACTCACTAAGAAGATAGCAAAAAAGCTAATGTCGACCCACAGGTGGAAATAAGTGTTAGGATAATACCAGCAAACATCAATATTAGGGTAAGTCATAAATGAGCAGCATCAGTACTTATAACTGGAAACAACTGAATTCCTCAAAGCAAAGTGAGTCTCAATGACGAACTATCTCCCATAATGACGAGACTACCATCCATCGGAGTAACAAAATCTCAACAATGAACTATCTCCCATAATGGTGAGACTACCATCCATTGGAGTAACAAAATCTTAACAACATACTATCTCCCATAATGACGAGGCTACCATCCATCTTAGTAACAAAATCTCAACAACTAAATATCTCCTATAATGACGAGACTACCATCCATTGGAGTAAAAAAATCTCAACAACAAACTATCTCCCATAATGACGAGACTACCATCCATTGGAGTAACAAATCTCAACAACGAACTATCTCCCATAATGACGAGACTACCATCCATCGGAGTAACAAAATATCAACAACAAACTATCTCCCATAATGACGAGACTGCCATCCATTGGAGTAACAAAATCTCAACAACGAACTATCTCCTATTATGACAAGACTACCATCCATTGGAGTAACAAAATCTCAACAACAAACTATCTCCATAATAAAGAGACTACCATCCATTGGAGTAACAAATCTCAATAACGAACTATCTCCCATAATGACGAGACTACCATCCATTGGAGTAACAAATCTCAATAACAAACTATCTCTCATAATGATGAGACTACCATCCATTGGAGTAACAAATCTCAATAATAAACTATCTCCCATAATGACGAGACTACCATCCATTGGAGTAACAAATATGAATCTTCTATGGGAACTAACATACTTACTGGGGAAGTGCAGGTTGCTCAAATAAAGAGACATACCATTGTTGTTATTATAAGAAACCCTTTGGGAAAAGAAATATGACTTCTCTGGGGAAATGCCGATATATTCCTGCTGAGGGGATAAAGTCTTCTTGTCCAAAATAAATGCATATTCTCAAACCAATACTCAAAGTCTGCGGAAAACATAATAATAATGTTACCAGGAACCCCAAATTCAAACCAGAAATAAACCAGAATGAAGCAGTTAACTAAGATAACACTTGATGAGAAATAAACTCAAGAGGCAAACACGTTCCATTCAGATAATGAGCTGAATAGGAAGGCTGAAGAAAAACTCTTGCACGAGGGATAACTCAGTGGGGAAATTGAAAGAATATACACTTTATGCTCAAGGTTGACACTCTATTGGAGAGAGGGTAACATAACTCTGCAAAATAGGGTAATATGCCAACAAAAACATAAATGAATGCAAATGAGTAATGAATTTTAAATTCAGCTATGCTTGATGCATGTATGAATGTTGTTATGTATATGTTGACAACACAAACACACAA